TGGGGGACCAGCCCAGGGGCCCAAGAGCAGCTGGGAAGCTACCTCAGAAGAGGTCACAGGCTGCCATGATGCCATCTGTCAGCCGTGCTACCCCGGACAGGACACCAGCCTTGCCTCGATGACAAGGGTCACTGAATTCTCCCCCGCTGACAGAACTTAAGTCAAGGTTGGATGCTTCTGAGAAACGTGCTCCAGGAATTACTCGAGGAAGCTGCGGCCCATGTCCCACGGCAGGTCAGACACGCTGACTCGAAGGGCCCGTGAGAGCTCCCAGCACTAGCCCCCTCCTGCAAGACCCTCGATTCCCCAGGGGACAAAGGAAGCAGGAGGGACCTCAAATCGCGGAAGTTAGTCACAATTCCCTGCATACAAATGAATGCAACGTTGCAAAGTCAGGAATGCAGCGCTGGTTCCCACAGCAACCCCAGCCCTGCCTGCGAAACACACGGCGGATGGGAGATGCCGTTGCCTGGTTTGCCTTTATGTAAGTGTGCGTGCGCTCAAGGCGGCCAGGGAGAGCTCCGCTCAGGCAGCACACAGCACTCGGTGACGGTTCACACCACACCGATCAGCGACAGCGTCTGCAGAGCGGAGGCTGCTGCAGGGAAACCAAGTTAACTTTCAAGCCTGTGACGTCTTAACCTTAATGCAGCCGCATACTAGGGAATCAACTCCTAGACATCCCCTACGGGCTCGTCACTACGCACCGGGAACGTAGAGCTTTGAGGGGGCCTGGGGAGCTAGGCTAGCACACGAGAGAACTTGGACCAATTGCAGGACGATGCAACAAGGGCAGTACCTGGGCTCCATGGCCCCGCCCCGGGGAGTATGTTCCAGACAGGGACGAGTCAGACCAAATGGTCATGCCGGGCAGGGAGAGCAAGCACTGCAGTGCTGTAGCTCAGCATGGGCGAAGCAGCAAGCTCTGCCGAGCACACAGCTGTTCGGGAGAATCTCGATGCCTCACATTAATATTAAGTGCTACGGTTCAGCGCGCCGGGCTCTGGACGGCTCCTGCTTACTTACAAGGGGCTCCAAACAGAGACGGGTTCAAGGGAGCGGAAGCTGCGCTGGGCGAGCAGCGTCGTTTCCCAGAGACCCCAGGCTCTGGGGTTTTTAAATCGGAGGCAGACCCCTTGCTCGGACGAGGGAGCCCACGTGCGTCTGAGCCAAGTCTGCCGACGGTCTCCAAGCCTGTCATTGAACCGGGGCCCTTTGGAATTCTCAAAGCCGTTGGGCTGGAAGAACAGGACTCTGCCCCAAGGGGTATTTGGGGCCTTCCAGGACCTCACCTGCAGGCAGGGATAACGAGCCCTAGCGACAGCACTGCTCATAAGGGCACTGGCTGCAGCCTTCTGCAGCGCTGACATCCACTCAACACGGCTACGGGTGCTGTACCCCTGCCCCAGAGACCATGACAAGACGAACGCGGAGAAGAGGCGGAGCACGCAGGCGTAGTGAGAACGGTGCTGAGACGGGACGGCCCCGTGGGGACACTCGGCCTGCCCTTGCCGAGATCGGTTTCGCACCGCTCTCAGCACAGGAGGGTCGGAACGCTCCCCACGGTGCATTCAGCCACACGGCCGCACATCTGCCAAGCAGGTTTGCTCTCTAACTCTCTCCCAAGGGCAGAGGCCTGGGCAGCAGAGCATCTGCCTCGGTCGTTTGTCGTGGTTTTTAAACAAGTGCACCTGTTGCAGCATTTCTAGTGGAGAAGGTGAGTCCCCAGCGGGCCATGCCCTTGGCGGACAGGCAGGGACGTCTGCGATGGCCCTTGGCTCCCAGGGGGTTTCCTTCCAGCCTCCAGCCACCCCGAGAAGGTTCTGGTCCCGCCAGAGAGGAGCTCTGCTCATGTTGCAGTGCACAGCCCTGGGCCGGGGAGGCACAGCTGCTGGCCTGTAGGACCAAGCCCACGCCCTTGCTTTGAAGGGCAGCAGGAAGACAGCACAGAGTGCGGATTTTCCTGCCATTAACATCTGCATTTCCACATCAAAGGCGACGTATGGGACACGCCCGGCCCACAGCCTCAGGGACACAGCTCCTCCAACGGGCAGGGTTTGCCCACCAGACCTCGGATTCTGGGTTGGTCAGTCTCGGGTCCCACGGCACCGCTCAGCTCCAATAGCTGGAAGTTCCTGCGTGGCTGAGCGGTGCAGCACTCACTCCCTGTCCGAGGGCAGAAGGCATGGCTGGCAGCCACTGGGAGGGGAGTGCCGTGTCAGCAAGGAACCCAAGGGAACGCCAGCGACAGCCCGACCTGGCCAAGTGGGGGGGCGTCCCTTCCTTCACAGGAGCCCCCACCGTGACTGCCAACTCCTCCCCCCACAGGCCTCAGCACCAATGGGCTGCCTAGGCTTTCGGCATCCTGCAATTCCACCACCTCTACTGCCCCAGAGCCCGAGCATGGCCCAATCCCAAGGGACTCTGAGAGGCAGGCAGGTCCCCGGAGCCAAGGGGAAACTGAGGGACCCCCGGCCGCGCTGGGACCCCAGCCTCTCTGCTTTACCTTCTAGGCAGAGCCCCTCG